GTGGTGAGTCCTGACCCGCGGCCGGCACCAGCCGCAGCCTCCCCGTGCCTCTCCGCTGGAGGCAGGGGCCAGCATCCCCCTGAGAGCTGCGCTGGGAGCGGAGCGCGGCTGGGGGAGGGACGTGTCTAGGCCCGGCCTGGGCCGGGGCGGAGGGGCTCTGGGGGGGCAGCTGGGCTAGTGGCGATCGCGGTGGGGCTGGAATCAGAGCGGGTGAGGAAGGAGCGAGGAGCCCTTCCGCGCCACCCCCTTGGCACTCCTGGGGCCGTGCATGCACAGGGTTGCCCCGGGGCCTGTACCGGTGGCAACGCGTCGAGGCCCTCTTGGGAAGCAGCCGGCTCCCGCAGGGAACGCAGCCCCTGGGGGCTGGCTAAAGGCTGCTCTTTCGCTGCTGTCTCACGGGGATCTCTATTTAAGGGAGCGGAGCAGATCGCGAAGGGCCATGAGTGCCCCTGGGTGCTGCAGTCCCGGTGTAATGCTGAACGCTTCTGCCGGTGGCCTCGCTGCTGGACAGCCCCTGGTCGCCCGGCCATCTGCTGCTCGCACGTAGGGCATCGACTCAGTCCTCTATCTGCTGGGCTCCTTCCGGTTTGTATCGATGTAGGTGATACATGCAGAGATTTTTTTTGTTTACTAACTGGCCCAGTCAAATCTACCAGTGCAAAAGGCCTCTCTTTTTATTTGTTTCTATTCTTCCTGCCATCACTAATGATTAACAATAAATACAATTTGTGTATTCTTGCCCTGCTATAGTTTGCTGCAAGAGTCAGCCTTCCCCCTAATTCTTGTATGGCACCATATTTGTAAGTGGTGGTTTCAGAAGGGACACACTGCATCTTACCCTGAAAGCAATATTTCTGATTTTTCTCATTCGCTTTCTGCTTTATAATCTAAATCATTGTCAAAAGTTTGACATTTAAATTTCATGCTGCCTAATGATGAATTTATCTGCTTCTTGACAAAGCTACAGAAGGAATGACTAAAGCATTTACTTTACATTTATTTTAAAGCATCTAACTGTTGCATTTATTGTGTGCCTTTCTAGTGTTTGGGACAATCTCTGCTTCCCAGATCTGAAACCATGTGTTAAATTCCCTTTTCTCTCAGGTCATGTGATCTGCTGGTTAGAGCAATAGGATACAAGAATACAAGAATTAGGACTAATACTTCTGTGTTCTAGCTTCTCTCCTCTCCCTCCAACTTGCTGTCTGATTCTGGTGAAGTCACTTATGTCCTAGTCTTCCTTTCTGTAAAGCACATAAACATACTTCCCTCATTATTATGTACTCTGTGGCTCCCAATTTGTGATGCAAATTATCTATTCTGGAAATATCTCACACAAGGTGGGGATAAAGGAGGTACAGTACTATTTTCCAATGGCCTTGTCAACCTTATTAAATGCTTTCATGTTTTATTTTCCTTCCTTGTTTCTAGCTTTGTAGCAATTCCTGAGAATGTGTCCTTGGTGGGAGGCCTGTGGTGATTTGCTGGATTCTTCCAAGCTGCTCCTGTCCTCTGCACTCTTATGCTGTATCTTTTGTTTTACAGGATTTATTCTTGTCCCTTTCAATGGAGAGTGACTGTATAGACCAATAATGAGGACCAGCCCTCGCAGGCCCTTAATTCTCAAAAGACGGAAACTGACCCTCCCACAGAAGAATGCATCCAGTACTTCAGCAAGACATGAGGACAGTGGTCAAGATGAAAAGACTCCTAAGCAGGAACACAGCCAGGAGAAGCAACACAACGGCCAACCCAGAGACAAACCAGACTGTGGCCTGCAGACATTCCCAGCGGGAATAAAGATAATTGATCATCCTACCATGCCCAATACGCAAGTGGTGGCCATCCCTACAAATGCTGATATCCAGAGCATCATAGAGGCACTGACAGCAAAAGGAAAAGAATGTGGCAACAATGGGCCCAACAAGTTCATTCTCATTAGCAGTGGGGGCACATCCCGTTCAGCAGGTCCAACACCATCGCAGCATCTTCCATCAGAGAAGAAACCCAGTGCAGCAGCCAAGACTGCAGATGGTCAAGAAAGAGAGAAGGATGTTACACAGACCCCTGGTCTTGCAGGAGGGAAGATGCTCTGGCATTCGGGAATTGATTCTGTGGCTGGACAAGAACGGGAGAGCAACAGTATGTAATCTTTACCTTTTTTTTTTTTTTGTCCTGACAAAGAGATATGAAGTGGGCCAATGAGTGCTTGGATCTCAGTATGCAATAGTGAAGACTATTCTGTTAATTACAAAAATAGCTATGGATCTGATTCTAATAATCAACACAGCTGTGCATATGTAGTGAAAACGGAAGGATCTTGTTGAATATACTTGTGGTGGAAGAGATGACACATAAAATTGTGTAGCAAAGTTTTAGTGCTGGGAAAAAAAGGGCTGGCTTGAGGAAATCAAGTCTAGAAGCAAAAAAGACTAAGTCTCATTTAGCAAAAGGGTTGTGGCTGAATTCAAGACTAACATAGAGTACCCTAGCCAGTGACAAAGCATATGGACCTAGAGCTTTGAAAAAGAGATGATTCACATCCTTTAATAACTAAGTGGCAAGTCTGTTTCCTCCTTGGCTGTCTCATGAATCTGCTGAATAAAGGTTAGAAAGGGATGGATTTTACTTGGAAACACTGCTCAGATCAAATTTTTACTTGCAACTTAAAATAGCTATGTAGCTTTGGGACTTTAGTAAATCTTATCCCACAGCATAGTTCTGTCTGACAGGAACCTGTAGATGGCTGCAATAGCTGCATCACTACAACCAGTCTCAACAGGAATAACAAAACAAAAGTGTTAGTTTTCATTGCTGCAGTTCAAGAACCTGGAGATAGCCGAGTTTCTGACTTGGTCTTGTAACAGGTATACCAGTTGGATTTTTTCACCACCTTCCTCGGCTTCTGCTTGCTAGGTTCATCCTCTGGCTAAAAATACTTGAAGTACTGGATCAACATTGTCCTGTTTTGGTTGAGAGCAATAGTCTGTTTGAGTGGTTGTTTTTAAGGCTGCAGCTTTTTTCATAAATGGGGCAGATTCACATGAAATCAAGAATTCAGGGTTTGAATTCCTTCCACAAGAAACATTAGCATTGCAATACCACCTTGTCCCTATCTTGAGACAGGGACACCTCTTTTAGAAGTGTGACTAGTGCCTTCCTTTTGGCACTTGAGATGAGTGGGGAAGAGGGTTACTTGTGAGTAAGCAGAGCTATGGGCTTGTTATCCCAACAGGCAGTGGCGAGACAACGAGCTCTGTGTTGGACAATAGTTTAACTAACATCCAGTGGCTGGGGAAGATGAGATCTGATGGGCTAAGTCCCTGTTCTGTGAAGCAAGACACAGAAAAAGAGAACCAGATGCCTCTGCGGGAAACAATCAAGGTAAGTAGGAGAAGACAACAGAGCATGTGCTTAAACTTTTGATAGGGAAGTAATCCATGTGGATCAGAAGACCTGCAAGAACTAGGAATCACTATCTCTAAGTAACCCAGGTTTGGCCTTTACTGACCTGAGTAGCAGAACCTGGAGGATCCAGGGATGTTCCATGGCTCTTTTTGTCAGCTTTTGAGCACTCATGTATCATTCTTCCTGTCTCTCAGACTGAAGAAGATGCTGCTGCTGCTGCTATTCCTACCACTGCCGCCACCTCCTCATGGCAGGATTCAGTATCAGAACGACCTCCTTACTCCTACATGGCCATGATCCAGTTTGCCATCAACAGCACTGAGAAGAAGCGTATGACTCTGAAGGACATCTATACCTGGATTGAGGATCATTTCCCATATTTTAAACATGTGGCTAAGCCAGGTTGGAAGGTAACAAGCAGGCCCTCTAGTTGCTGGGGGCCACAGGGTGAAATGATAAGCCTTCTGGATGACAGTGAAAAGTTGTTCCCCAGCCTGCAGAGCAAGATAAACACTGCACCCCAAATACCCTCTCATTCAGATGTTTCTTGTCACACTTCTTGTACTCCTTTTTGCATTCCACTTAGGCAAGGTGACAGTATGTTTGATCACTGGAGTAAGAATATGGATTTCAGGAGTAAATAGAAAAAGAAACTGATGAAGGGTTGGCTGAGTATGCAGACAATATGAAAGTCCATGTTGTCTTCGCTTTGGAATGTAACCCCTCTGTCAGGGCAGTCATGTCTGAGGTAGGCATTGCTGTGCTGAAAACACTACTTTTCAACCTCCCTCTCACTCTTTTCTCCACAGAACTCCATCCGGCATAATCTGTCCCTTCATGATATGTTTGTCCGTGAGACATCTGCTAATGGTAAAATCTCATTCTGGACTATTCACCCTGATGCAAACCGTTGCCTAACATTGGACCAGGTATTTAAGGTGGGTGCCTCATGCAAAGAAAATGGGACAGGCTATCCAGTTCCTAAATGCCACAGTAGCCAGATGTGCCTTATTTTAATAGGAAAGTTAAGCTGCTTTGACATCAGCTTTTTTGCAGAAGCTGGATTCAGCCACTTCTCTTGACAAGTAGACAAGCTCTGTATTTGAGAGAAAAGGTGCTGTGGCTGTGCGTTTGAACTAGAGCTTCTGTGGGATGTGTTTATTCTTCAGGTAATGTGCCAAATGTAATAGTGAGCTTGTCCAACTTCTTCCCTTCTCACTGGGAATTTCTGAATTCCTAATGAGAAGTTTTCCACTGAAGTCAAGCAGGAGTTTCTATGCTATTGGTTTGGACAGTCATAGGATGGAATTGCCCTATCCCAGCTAGGTCGTTTCAGAAGTACCATTTTGTGGGAGAAACAGAGCTTGCGAGCCTGGTATAGGTGTGTTTAGACTATTCTGTGTTTTCTGCAGTGGGTGGGCAGATTGACTTGTTTGCTCAGAATATACAAGTTTAAAATGTCCCATTTGTTCCCCCTTTGGTTGATAACTTCATCTTATTTTTCTCCCTCTCAATGCCTTGCTGCCACCAGCCGCTGGACTTGGGGTCACCAACATCGCCTGAGCTCTTTGAATCAGTAAGACTTATCCTCTGGCCCAGGGCTTGGGCTTCCATTCTTTGCCAGTCACTGAAGGGAAGAAGAGGCTTGGGGAGGGGGACTAGGTCACTGCTGCACCTAGTCATACAGCTCCATGCACACTCTTTTTGAGGAAAGGAGTTGAGCCAGGGGTTAATTGCCTTCAGATGATATCTCTACAGCTGGTAGAGCTGTATAGCTTTGAGCAACTAGAAGTCTGCTGCTGAAGTAGGTTGCAGTGGGCACCAACAACCTTCAGAGAACAAGCCCAGGCGCAGATTTCTGGTAAAATCCTCATCTCCATGGCAGCAGTCCTGATCTGTTCTGGGGCTCAGATCCAGAGAGAACAGGATCTCCCTGTGCTCCTTTTTCATTTTGGAACCCAGCTGCATTGCGACTCTCAGAAGGATGAACCTGTTTGCTGTCTCTTGCATTCAGCAGATTTAACAAGGACAGATTTACAAGCAGCCAGTCAAATGCTTTTCTGTCGTCACAACGACAGCTCTGGCCTTCTTTCCATCTGCTTAGACTTCTGATTCCTCTGTTGCCTCTGCTATTCCACTTGAACATCTATCTGGTCTATGGTTTGTATAGAGATCCTGTATACAATAAAGCTATCCTAGTCACCTTTCCTCAGGCACTGAGGACAACGAAACCAGGTCACTTCTGCAGTAGAGTCTGCAGCTGGAGCAGCTCTGCCATGCCATCTCTTTTTCTACACAGCTTTTGGTTGGCAGCTGGCTTTGAGATGGCATGGCTGCAGAACAGCAAGTGGCACAGTGATAGAGCTGGTGTGAGTGCTGAGTGCTAACTGCTGCTCTCTCTGTATTAGCACAGCACAGGCTTCTGGATTAGCAGTTCTGAACAAGGCAGCAGACTAAAGATGGATTCTTCTCTTTAAATCTTTCTTTCCTCCTTCTTTCTTATCTCACAATGACTGCAGCAGCAGAAGAAATATCCTCCAGATACCCAGAAGAACATGGGAAGCAACAGCAGCAGCAAAACTGAACCCCAGAACGCACGTGAGTGTCTACATCAGTCTGGGCCAAAGAAAATCAGTCTCATAAACCTGGGCCCCTCCCAGATTCCTCAGGAATAAAAGTGGAAATTGTTTGGCAGCTTTTAGGATTCCTACTGTCAGGTTTGGAGCCAAAGGCAGTATTGCTGTGTCTGAGAGAGGATGTGATGGGAAGATGGAGGGGACTGGGTACTCGAGTGAGAGCAGAGCTTGCCCCATCTTGAGGGCTAAGATCTGTATGAAGGACTCTTTTTCTTGTTCATCAAGCCTCCTGGCTTGGGATTTGTATCCTCAAAATTAACAAAGAAGACAAGTGGGCCTATCACTGGTTGGATGTTTATTTTGGGGTATTTAGAAGGACTTCCTATCAGACGCCTGGGTTTCAAGAGGTAGTAGAGGAAGGGGCAAGAGAATAGCAAGTCCATTCTTTTCCGTTCCAGGCCGAAAGATGAAGCCTTTGCTTCCTCGCATCAACTCCTACCTGGTTCCGATCCAGTTTCCTTTGAGTCAGCCTCTTGTCTTGCAGCCTTCTATGAAGGTTCCTCTATCCATGGCACAGGGAGCATCCCTCAGCAGCTCAGAGACTTTCCGGAGCAATAAGCGTGTGCGCATTGCTCCAAAGGTTGGCTTCTTTTTTTTTTTGTTTTCTGAGGGTCTTTTTTTTTTCTTTTGGGGGAGGGAATGGGTGGTGGTTTTGTTTGGGGATTTTTGTTTGGTTGTGTCTTTTCTATAGCTCTTGCCTTCTATGGACACTTCTTCATATTCGTTCCTTCATGCATCTTTATTAGGTGCTCTAAAACTCTAAGCTCATATTAAGGATCTAGCCAGTGACAATCCTTGCTGTCCTTTTCTGTCTCTAAGGTGACTATTACCTGCTAGCTGACTTGCTCTAAGGATGTTACTATAATTCACTAGAGGAGAGGGCTCTATGATCTGGTCAAGACAATGTTTCCCTATTGCTTGGACATGAAGAAATGGGAGAAATGGCTTTGTTCTGCCCCCTATCAGATTTTTGATAGCTCTGAAGAGACACATAACATAGGGAACTCCTTTTGAAAGAGCATTTATTTGCATGTAGTCGGCAGAGTTTTTCAGTACCTATTGTCTGCTAATTCTGTGGAGTTCCCAGTTATTCTGGGCTCAAGCAAAACAGCTATTAACAGGTCATTCTCCTGGCATCTCACTGACTGCTCTTGGATGCTTAGACATTTTAAAGTTTTAACTTCTTCCATCCTGTCTAACCATAATCCTATTTTTCTTTGCCTGCTGCTTTATGTTCTCTCCTGCTATGATTTATCTTTTCCCTGTGCTCTTTTTCTAACCTCATTTTTTTTCTTTTTCCTTGGCTTCTGGGAAATCTGTCCTCATTCATTTTGTTATTTCACATGTAGGTAGGTAAGGAAGAATCAAAGGGATTACACTTTTCCAGAAATATTTAACTCTCCTTCTGCCTGTACTCCTAGAAGTTCCTTAGAGCAGCAGTGCTCGGAAGGGCATGACTTTCAGTCATGTAGCTAAAATCCTTCTGATGTGATCTTCAGGCTCCTTTGTATCAACTTCACACAGAGCCCAATCTCTCACTGTTGTAGTTAGTGCTTTCTGAAAATCCTCCTCTTACCTGTTCTGCTGTCCTTAAGTGCCAGTCTTTTCTTCCTTTTACTGTCCTTTGGATTTTGGGTAGGTTCCTTGCTTGCTTGCTGATGACATGTCACTTGTGTTTCTTTGTAGATGTCACTCTCTGCAGAAGAATCATCCTCTTTACCCATAGCCACTGTCAAGGAGGAGAGTCAATGCGATGAAGGTTTATTTTCCCCAACCCATTCCCTAAAGGAGAGCAGCTCCCAGCCTGGTGAGGAATCGGCTTCTTTCCCTGAGAGTGTCTGTATAAAGGAGGAAGAAAGCTCTCAGCTGGATGACTGGCTGACCCCATTTGCCTCAACCCTAATGGTGAAGGAAGAGCCAGGCTTGTTGCTCCCAGTCGCATCCACAAAGGAGAAGAAACAATTCACCGTCCTGAAGTCACCACCTAAGGGTGTTTCTGACACATTAGTTATAAAGAGGAGGGAAAGGCGGGAAATAGGCAGGTCCAGAAGGAAACAACGCCTAGCACTGCCTTGCTCAGAAGAGCCTGTCCTTGTTCTGCCAGAAAGCAACGGCTTTGACCCTTTTCGGTTAGGGGCAGACCGCTCCTTCCTGCAGGAAGGGCAGCCTCTTGAGAATGTTTCACAGCTCAGCTGCTCACAGGGTGAAGAGGGGCCCTTTAAAACCCCAGTCAAGGAGATGTTCAGCAAATTACCAGTTTCTTCCACTCCCAGCAAAGTCTCAGCAACTACCAGCCCTCCATTAGGGAGCCTTGACCCCTGGAAATCTGCACCCTTAGCAAAGGGAAGTCACGAGCTGGACTTCAGTCCAGTGAGAACCCTTCAGCTGCCATTCACACCCCTCCAGGAGAACCAGGACTTGCTGGGTTTTAACAGCACACCCCTTAAAAATCCCCTCTTTGAGTCCCCTCGGGAACTGCTCATTACAGAATCCAGTGACATGGTGCATGCTCCCCTCACGAGCTCTCCAGCTTTTATTCATGAGTCTACTAAGCAATCATCTGTTGAACTGCCAGCCTGTGGTTTTACTGAAAACCGATCTCTCATGGAGGGCCTTATCCTGGACACAATGAATGACAGTCTGAGCAAAATCCTTTTAGACATCAGCTTTCCTGGTCTTGAGGATGAAAACTTAGGAACGGACATTAGTTGGTCTCAGCTCATACCTGAACTGAAGTAAACTGGCCCGAGGAATGAATTTGCCTTGTTCTGATATTACAGAAAGCACTCTACTCTTCTGAGATCTGGTCACATAGTCCAGGACGACTGTCTGCTTGTGACTAATTCCCACATCCATGGGAACAGAGGGTGTTATTGACTCCTGCTAAGCTGGGAGGCAGGCCCATTGGCTGCTATAAGCTCTCTTTTTAAGCTACAATAGATTTTATGTGGAACAAGATAGCATCTCTAATCTTGTGCTAAAGATAAATTCCTGGAGAGAGGTTATCAAAAGAACATCTAGGTAGGCCCTGAATGGCATTTGCTATTTAAAGTATCAGAGGAAATGGATGTACTCCTCAGTTATGTACAATAGGAAGGAGCCTGGGAAACTCCTCCTAGCTCTGTCCTTACTTCCCTTTACTTTGTTCTCCTATTACTTAGTATCCTCTGTGTAGTTTTAATGGCTGTAAATATTGTACATTCCTTAAATTAGCCCTTAATTATAATAATAATTTTATTCTTGTAGGATTATGGGAATATTTGAGCTGGTAAAGGGTTTGACTAATGTCCGTATGTTCCATGTCTTCTGTATTTTACTCTAGATGAGAGACTAAAAGACTTCTTTTCTTTCTTTGACTTCAGAAACACATTGATCTAGGTTGTTCTGAAGGTTGCTGGGGCAAAGATCTGAAAAATCACCTGTATGTGACTCAAGTCAAACTCAAACAGGCTACTGTAGCATAAAATCTTGGTTTGGCTTCCTTTTCCCAGGGTGGAGTGCAGAAGACTTTGGATCAAGCTGTTTAGCTCTTCTGGTTCCAGAGTCCTATTTTTATGTACCTAGAAGGCTAGGTAGAGTCACTCTTGCAGTAAGATGGACTTCTGTTGAATGGTTAAAGCTGCTCTCATTACAATATGCAGTTGAAAATGTAAAAAAGAACCTATAAAGCAAATGCTGATATTTCCACTGGAAAGTGGTCTCTGGAAACACAACGTATGTGTCTCTTGGTGCAATAGGACAGCTCATCCCAATTCTCTAGAACTTGTATCAAAAGAGGAAATTGCCATGGAAAAGACCTGATCCTTCTGCTTACAACTGATGGCTCATGTATCTACATACTCAATAAAGCTTCTGTGGGAACACAGCTGATTATAGTCTTTACTGCTTTCACTTTTGGCAGCATGCTCAGGCAACCAAGTTTTGCTTGTCTAATGTGTGTTTTCAGTGATCCCTGAGTAACTGATTATTAGGACTTTTTCAGTATTCCTCAGGCCATCTTGGCTTGGTTGTTACTCAAACCCTTGCTTCAAATAATATATTTTTTCTGTCTGTTCATGGGTAAATGCTGACTTCACAAGTCAAAAAGATACTGAATTAGTCTAAAACATCAGAACACCCCCCACAGACTAGTTTCTGAATTTTGTAAATGCAAAACAAGTCTCATGCAAAAATCTGTATTTCTGCCTTCCCCTAGAAACACAAAACCAGACTTAATGTGTGTGGTTTTCAGAATGCCAGTTCTATCATATGCTTGTTAAATGTTATTTGCCCTCAGAAGATATTTCAAGCACTTTATGTTGATGATTATTATCTCACTTTTTCTGGGGAGGGATACTGGACTCCCTGATCTGCATTTTTGTCTGCCTAGCACAAATGACTGCTCAGCTTGAGGCCACCACAGAAAATGTTTTACCAGGCTGCCATGTGAATTTCAGAGCAGAAGATTTTTGTCAGTGATTAGAAGTTGAAGTTCCATCACTTCTGATTGAGTGTCAGGAGTTTGTTTGCCTTTAAACAGGAAATAAGAAGGGACTTCAGAAAGCTTTCGGACTAAGAACTATTGTGTGCCAGTAGCCTCTTGAGTGTATATTTTGTTTAGGATTGGTTTGCCAATATTGTGTGTGGGGGCAGGAGGTCTTGATTCCTTCTCTGCAAATGTTCTCTAGTAAGGAGTTTGTGTTTCTCCAGCCTGAATTGAAATAATCATTCTTTCATCAGGGAATTGTAACAGACTGCTGTGAAAACTGATCGAAGCTACAGAGCACATCTGTCTTCAGGGAGGAGAGCTGAGGGGAAAGCCATAAATCTAGATTTAGGCCCAGGGGGAAGAAGAGATACAGACAAAAAGCAAGATTGTGGTCACGAGGCTGCAGAAGAGGCTCACTCTGTGGTTTGTGGTATGCTTTCTGCTACTATGTGTTACACAGCTGTCAACACTCTACTTGGGTTTTTCAAGGCATCCTCTCTCCCTTTCACCTCACTTCTTGCTCCTGAGAAGATGCATGCACACAACTGACATCCAGGAGCCAGCTAAGGATCATGTCTCCAGTGAATTATGAAATGCTCTTGTCCTTGGGATGATAGGATGCTGTTAATTCCAGGTGGGTGATCCTTTGGTGTCCCAGTCAGCGGAGGTGCTTTGATGGCCACCTCGCATTATATTCTGAACATAGTAGTGTCAAAGACTAGTTTCCCCTCCTGTTAAGTATTCCAGTGAAACCCTGATAGAAGGCAGTTATATAGAAAAAGGTGGAAGGAACAACAGAAAAAATTGTTTTAAGCAGTCCTACCTACTTATTGATCCCACAGCAGATTTCCCAGTGTTTTGCTCAACCTAATTCAAAGCTTCACTTGGTGAGGATTTCATCACAAGTCTCAGGAAGACTACTTTATTTCTCCCTATCTGTAAGTGTTTGCCTGATATTCTGCCTTTCCTTAATTTCATCCTGTTACATTCACCACTGTAAAATTATACAAAAAGCTATAAAGCCATCACACTAGTGTTTGAGTGACTGCAGCCAGCTTGTTGAAAATTGTTAGTTTTGGATTCTCCTTTTGTTCTTTCCCTGATGGTATTTATATGTCACTATTTATGGGAATTGGTTGTTGCAGCACGTAAAATACCAGGAAGATAAGTTGTTTGAGTGTGGAAGTCGTGGATCTTTGCATCTTTAGCTGTAAGGAGTTTCACATCTGTTGTCACAGAGAAGGACACTTGCTCTTAATATCTAAGGCCTAGCCCACAGAAGATCTGCAAGATCAAACGTGATCAGGTGTTGGAAGGCAGATAAACATAAGGCAGAGACGCAGGGACCTGCACTTCTAATTGCTCAGCAAAGCAGCTGTTTGGAGGATGTTGGATTAAATTGGCAGAGTTTGTTGCTGGAGGTCATTGCTTAGGTATCCTATATTTGAGCAACTGGACTGTTCACAGGTGCCATTGCTCAGGAGTGAAGTGACAGATAAGTAAGACAACTGGAACTCAAGCACTTTGTACTTCTGGGCAGGTGCTCGAGGCATACACAGTGAGGTCATGCTGAGAGCAGTGGAAGTGGGTCTGTAGGGTAGGAGTATTACATTTTGAAAAGCTTTGTCATGAACTGAAGGCTAGAACAACATGATGATGGAACTGCCAGGCAGAAGTAAAACACTGTGAGAAACAAAAGTATAATTTTGTACCATGGGGAGCCAGTTGAACTTGAGGTAAAGGGGCAGAGAAGAGACTTGATTGAGCAGGACAGAAATTCTTGTGCAGTCAGCTTGGATGTTTAGTAGATAACTTGAGCATAAGGCCACCATCCTTTCCATTATGCAAAAGTTACATTTAGTGCTCAGAGCTGAGCACTGACATCGCTCTCAGCCTCTGTTCTGCGGGAATTATCTGAGTCAAAGAGAGATAGAGAAGCACACCTGTCCAAGAACAGAAAACTGAACTGTCTGTCTCTTTGGACAGCTATAGCCTCCAAACAGCAAGAACCACCCTGCAATCACCCTTTGTTCAGTTCAGCCCAGTTGAACGTGCACTGGAGGACTATTGGGCCTTGTCTTACCCCAGTCCTCATCCCCATTATCAGGAGACAGCGTGGAGACTTACCTTGAGGAAGAATGTTGCGTTCTGTCAGGAGCTGACGATAAAATGGTAGGGGACCACACCAGACACAAAGCAGAAGACAATAGGGCACTGCAATGAGGTGCAGCCACAGCACCCTGTATAGGAGTAGAACATACACTGAAGTTTATGGAGTTTGGGGCACTGTATACAGGGGACTCAGACAGGTGAGAGCATATAGGTCGTTGTGTCATGGGATAGAAAGTCCACCTCCAGCTCTTGGCGCAGGCAGAAGAAGTTACACAGCAGCATCATCCACTAATACAGAATATTGACAACCTCGCCCAGAAGACATGCTCCTGTTATGCCTCTGTTTTAAACCAGCACAGTTATTGGGGAACCGTGCAACAGAAGCAAAATTTCCACAGGAAAAAGACATGCTTTTTGCTAGTGTCTTCATCTGCAATCCTTTTTTGTGAGTAACTGTACATTTTTAAATCAGAGGTTCCTGGATATTGTACAGGACCGTCTACACCCTTTTCCTGCTTGTGAGCAGGCTGAGGTGTAGGGCTTATAACCATCCCCAACCAAAAGAATTCTGATGTCCTCCCTGTGGTAGCTCCACCACATACTTCAAGCTTTAGTCTGGTTTGGGAATGAGTTGGGACATATCAAGTCACACTTGCTCAGCAAGTGACATCAGTGAAGCAGTTTGACAGTGTTATCATAAAGAGGGTCTCTCACTAAAGAGATCTATGCTTGTAACAGGTAAAAGGTTTGGCTGCCACATGACAGTAATAGTGGGAGAGAAAAGAAGTATTTTTGTAAGGAAGAATGGAGAACATGGTTAAGACTTTATGAACAAAGATCTTACTTCAGACATTTAGGATAAGGGTCTCAGGGCAGTGCCAAGTTGGCAGTTCACAGGAAACAGGAGGTCTGTAGCATGGGGAGTTGTAACCAGGCAAAGAACTGAGGAGTTGTATGTTTGCAAGCAGAGTAATGAAGTAGGCTCAGAACAGAGGAAATGTATACAGAGGGAGAATGCAGGTATCACCTGTCCCTCTGCAGGCTCAGTATTCAGATTATAGTGTAGACTTGTGATCTTGGAAGATGGTGGGATACCTCTGTCCATCCTCCCTCAGTAAAAGCAGAGCTATACTTCTTGTCTTCTCATGAACCTGTTGTA